AAATCACTCTAAAATGTAATGTTTTGAGGATGAACAGACTATCAGCCACCTAGGACTTTTTAGCAGTCAAGCTAAGTTTTGTTCTAAAAACAGTTGAGTTTTCATTTTTACTATTGAGAGGTGAGTGAGATAGGAAAATACTTGAATTTTTGAATCTATAATTTAAATTTATTATATTTGTAATAAAATGTATTCTATGTGATTATTTTAATCAATTTACATATGTAATACATGTCACATATAAACTATACTTACATTAAATATATTTATGATTTTAAATATAAAGCATTTTATTTTCATATAACAAAATATTTATTAAATATCCCAACCTTAGGTCTAGGACAACATTGGAATGAGGTTTATGCACCTGAGCACAGGTGGTATGCTCCCTATGAACCGTGGTGAACTTCAAGGCACATCTTCTGGTCTCTTTACATCTATCCTGGTCTCTGATGGAGAATTCTAGATCAGTGTGTCCACCTCCACCATACACATCCAAGACAAGAAGATACCCGTGGGAAGCTGTGTTTCAAAGATTTTCTGAAGAGATTCCACCAACCTTAAATGTCTGCACAAACAACCTGTGAACATTTGTAAGGACAGGATGAGGGAGACTGCAACCACCATGTGGACAGTGGTTCCAGGCCTGGCTGGTACCAGAACTGCCTCGATAGCTTTGGAAAATACTGCATCTGTTGACCTACCTGAATTAACAGACTCAGACTCTGGGATGAGCCTTCATGTCTCACTCTAGACTCAAGTTTATTTTATATTTTTCCTAATGACATTATTTTACTAATATTTCACTGGTGCGTATGAAAGAAAGTTCCTCTCATTTCACCACACCGTTGAAGGTCTAAGATCTGAAATTTCGTGTAACTTCCTTTCATAATTCCCTAACCTTCTTCCATAAGCAAATATTTATTTGTGTTATAACTTTCTGTGACAAATTTTTCCACTGGAATCTTTGTGTTTTTTTTTTTAAATCTTTGGCTTGAATTTATGTTTGTAACATTTAAATTTTTTATTCATAATTACTATAGCACATTTGTCAAAGGAGGAATTTTGCTTCCTAATTTACATTAAGAAGAGATGCATATTAAAGTTTTATCAATATTTTTTCTATCAAAAATTTAAATAATAATTGTTAGTGCTCATCATTGAAATATGAAACAGAATATCTGTACTCATGTTTATTCCATTTACAGTTTTTATGTCATAAAAACAACAAAGCTGTTTATTTAACTTATAAGTTAATAGCAGAGCACATCATGTGAAATGCCAGGCTGGATGAGTCATAAGATAGAATCAAGTTTGCAGGGAGAAATATCATCAACCTCAGATATGCAGATGATACCACTCTAATGGCAGAAAGCAAAGAGGAACTAAAGAGCTTCTTGATGAGGGTAAAAGAAAAGATCATGGCATCCAGTCCCATCACTTCATGGCAAATGAAGGTGAAAAGGTGGAAGCACTGATAGATTTCCTCTTCTTGGACTCCAAAATCACTGCATATGGTGACTGCAGCCATGAAATAAAAGATGATTGTTTCTTGGAAGAAAATCTACGAGAAACCTAGAGAGTATAATATAAAGACATTGCTTTGGCGAGAAATACAGTCAAAGCTGTGGTCTTTCCGGTAGTCATGTACGGATGTGAGAGTCGGAACATAAAGTATGCTGAGCATCGAAGAATTGATTCTTTCGAATTGTGGTGTTGGAGAAGACTCTTGAGAGTCCCTTGGACTGCAAGGGGATCAAACCAGTCAATCCTAAAGGAAATCAGCCCTGAGTACTCATAGGAAGGACTGATGCTGAAGCTGAAGCTCCCTGGAAAAGACCCTGATGCTGGGAAAGACTGAGGGCAGAAGAGGGCAACAAGGGATAAGATGGCTGGATTGCATTCACTGATTCAATGGACATCAGTGAGTTCAGTCGCCCAGTTGTGTCTGACTCTTTGCAACACCATGGACTGCAGCAAGCCAGGCCTCCCTGTCTGTCACCAACTCCCAGAACTCATGCAAACTCATGTCCATCAAGTCAGTGACGCCATCCAACCATCTCATCCTCTGTCGTCCCCATCTCCTCCTGCCTTCAATCTTTCCCAGCCTCAGGGTCTTTTCCAATGAGTCAGTTCTTCGCATCAGGAGGCCAGAGTATTGGGGTTTCATGAACCTGGGAATTCCAGGAGATGGTGAGGGGCAGGGAGGCCTGTAGTGCTGCAGTCCATGGGGTCAGATCAAACCAGTCAATCCTAAAGGAAATCAGCCCTGAGTACTCATAGGAAGGACTGATGCTGAAGCTGAAGCTCCCTGGAAAAGACCCTGATGCTGGGAAAGACTGAGGGCAGAAGAGGGCAACAAGGGATAAGATGGCTGGATTGCATTCACTGATTCAATGGACATCAGTGAGTTCAGTCGCCCAGTTGTGTCTGACTCTTTGCGACACCATGGACTGCAGCAAGCCAGGCCTCCCTGTCTGTCACCAACTCCCAGAACTTGTGCAAACTCATGTCCATCAAGTCAGGGATGCCATCCAACCATCTCATCCTCTGTCGTCCCTATCTCCTCCTGCCTTCAATCTTTCCCAGCCTCAGGGTCTTTTCCAATGAGTCAGTTCTTCGCATCAGGAGGCCAGAGTATTGGGGTTTCATGAACCTGGGAATTCCAGGAGATGGTGAGGGGCAGGGAGGCCTGTAGTGCTGCAGTCCATGGGGTCACAAAGATTCAGACAGGACTTGGCGCCTGAACAACAGCAACATAAAACGTTCTTTTGGTTTCCACAGGTAAGTCAAGGGGTAAACTAAGAGCAGAGGTTTATTCTCTGAGCTATTTCAGAGTTATCTCAATGAGAGCTATGAACAGTGCTAAGAACAATGCTAAATCCTGGATCTAAATTTTCTTTTTTGATCTCCTTTTCACAAATTAGGAACCTGAGACTTGGGAGGTCAAGTAATTGCAGAAACCAATAATACTAGCTTATAAGTGTCAAAGCCTGTGAAGGCAAAAGCAAATTCTAGAAGTACATATATACATAAAAGTGCTTTCAGACTCTGTCAGGCAATGGACTGAAGCATGCAATATTTAGTATTGATTTAGTCATTAATATAAGTTTTACTGACTATAGAATTAAAATTAATGTAAGTAAGGTGTGCAGGGCTCTAGAAAAACTCAATCGTATATACTCACATGTCAACTGATACCACAGGCAATACATCAGATTATTTATTCCCTTTGGCAAGTGACTGGATTAATTCAGCCACAAATTTGAATCATGGTTCTTATAGTAGATTGCCTGTTGTCTAGTAGGCTCATAAGTGTCTGTTATGTTCATTATCACCTCTTACTGAACAGGGTAAGGAGTGAGATTCATATATACTTTTGAACGGTCTTATTTAAAATCATTTTCTTGGAGGGGAATGGAGGCATTTCGCTACAAATCAAAATAGCCGGTCAGCAGGACTATTTGGGCTGCTTGTTTCACTCCACTTTATTTTAAGACATATCTAAGGAAAGCAATATATTCCTGCTGTCACCCCGGTTTTCCTATTTTGAGTAGTATTTGTGGAGTAATGGATCATTCTTTTCGGGAAACTTTCTCAGTCCTCTCATACCGAGTTCTAAACTTCTGAGACGGTTAAAACAAAGATTACTCAGGGTCTGCCCTTGTAAAATAGAAGTTTGCAATAAATGGGTTTTTGTCTCAAAGTAGTCAGGGGAACAGGAAATGCAGCCGAACAACTGTGTCAAGTGAGGCATGAAGAAAAGCGATTTCAGCCTCTGGACTTGAGGGCGGGACACACATGAATTCAAAATAAAAGATTACTTCAGGCTTAAAGGTTTTTAACAATGGGAGCTGATGATGAATGAAGGAAGAAGCACGCTCTTAACGATTTTTTGGGGCCAGATCAACTTGACCTTTCATTTTTCATGAAGTCTTCCAATAAGTGCCTCTGCTCTGTTTTTCTCTCCTAGAAGCTCCAACAATCACTGTGATTCTTGTGATTCAAATGGCCTCCTGAAACGCTTTTAGGAGGACTAGAAGGATGGAGGGAACAGTGTTGTTCAATGAGTGAGAGAAATATTCAGTGGCTGCGAACAAAGTAATAAAAGAAAACCAATGCCATCATTGAAAAATGTAATGCCATCCCATGTTTCTGGCCTTCACTGCCTACATGTGATTTTTTTTTTTCCTCATCAAATAACAGCATAATTTCTTCTGAACTAGACATCACATCTTCCAATGCTTTCTGATATTTTAACATCCACCATAATGCTGCAAAAGTTCTTTAGTAAGACATTTTGGTATGTTAGTGAAAGATTACATGGTAGATCAGTGAAAACATTTTTGCAGGGTCTCAATTAGCTAAATGCCTAAAAATAGTACATGTGTATTCTTGTCAACAGTATATTATTATTGGAACGTATTCTGTGACTCAGAATGATACTATCAGAGAGTGCAAGGTTAGTCTTCCTTAATCTGCTCCAAGGTTCCTCAGCTTTGTGTTCAAAGAAGCAGTCAGTGTAAGCAGTGGAGAAATAAAAGTGAAATGAGAGACAGGGGAAAAGATAAAGATTTTGGAGACAGATTTAGAGGAAAAGGGGAAGAAACACCGACTGGGGTAGATGAAAGGCAATGGTACAAAAATGAGCAGAGTGATTAGGCAGAGTGAGGCTGTGGTTCGGGGGGGGTTTTAAACCATCAAACCATACTTCATCTGATGAGATAATCACTGTGAACTTTTCTAGCTCTTACAGAGGATACAGGATTTCATATGCACTGGGTAGTTAAATTTCTGAGATCACTAAACAATCCAAAGAGCATTTTAGTTGTCTTTTAAAGGTAAATAGCCACATGGCTGAGGAAATGATGTATCAATGGTAGGTTATGACCTTGAATATGGGGTTTGATGACTGAAAATATTGTCTCAGAAGACCTTGTTAGTTTGAATTAAAGATCAATTAGAGAACTGAGATTTTGAAAATTTAGACATATACTCACCCAACTGACAGGAAAGGCTCCTTTGACTCAAGTCTATGAAAAAAATATGAAAAACTTATTTTAATATAATGATGTTCTATACACTTAAAATTACTTTTACATGAATGACAGAATTATTATACTTGTTTGGAGGAAAATGCACAATTTAATTCCATTAAAACACCATAAATAATATATTAAAACCTAATCTAGACTAATTCAAATTCTGGCTGGATTAATGCAGAAGCTAAATAAGATGAGAGAGACATGGAATGGAAATGTGGCATTTAAATAATACATTAAGATAATATTGTTAGTCTAATTCTGATTTGTACTTTCTACATTGACATGTTTTCTTTTTTAATAGTAATTTGTGGAAGTTTTAATACATCTGTTTATGGTTGTTGAGATAATGAAGCGATTTATAATGCATTTGGTTAAATATAGACTGAATAATTTATTTCCAGTGAATATTTTGTAATGAAGAGACAAGAAGCTTACCATTCATCATCATTTATTGGAAACAACCCCTCTTAGGGCAGGGGGAGCCAAGTTGGGGTACTCCTGCCTCCTCTGTGTTTTTTACGAGCTAGTTGTTTTTTGTGCTTCTTAACGTAGTGAAGGAGAATTATAATCCTGAAGCTTCTGGCTACTTGTGGCGTCTTGTGCATGCCAATTAAAAATCTCCTGGGGCTTACTTTTGCCACTATAATATAGGCTAGGATTGCTCTTAGCTAAATTTCTGATTTCATAAATTAACTGTTTGTGAAAGGTAAATGAATCAAGAAAGGATCTACTTCTAAATATTTCCCAATTAATAGCTACAGAGACCAGCTGGTAGGTGTATACGGATCACTTCATTTTCATGTAAGTTTTTCAACTTATAATTATAGGTCAAATGTAGGCAAATATTGAAGGCATTTTAATCTAAACCCCAGTGTTTAAAAATTTTAAGAAACTTTCATCTTTTAAACTATTTTATTGATATATAAATAGTTGTAGGAAAATGTCAAGAAATTTAATTCTGTACCAATATTCACTGATCACCAGATGATTGTATTTTGACATGGACAACTCTAAAGGGATTATTTTAGATTTAAGTCAAACATCTTTACTTTTCTACAAGTCTAAACAATGAAGACACTAATCTTTTTTTTGTCTCTGTTTCATTCTGTATATATATAAATGGCTTATTAGAAATATGCCTTGTCCACTTACTGGATGAGCTGCTATGGCTCTCTGCCTAAAGCCCTGCTGCTTTAGTGAACAATATTATAGGAGGAAGGGACTGTTTTAGGGAGCAGGTACCCTAGAGTCCCTCTGAGCAGCAACACTTCCGAAAAAAGCAGAGAAAATAAATTTCTGGTGTTGAGTTGGAGACATATATTTATGAAACCTTTTCCCTTACTGAATTCCAATATTATTAAGACTTCCACATAAATTATTGGTCATATTATATGCTTGTTTTCCCCATATATTTATGACATGGATAGGCAAACAGTTCTAAGAGAAAAACTTTGAGGATAAACAACGAAATATGATTCTTTATTTTATAACATATG